GAACCGCTGGCAGTCAGCAGAATTAGCCTGCAAAACTACATTCTAACTACTGCACCACCACAGCTCTTAAGTGAAATATGTAAAAACTTAAATGTGCTAAAAATAAAAGAAAAGAAAAGAAGAAGAACCTTCCTATCCCAATCTACCACCATTCATAGGAACCCATGGAGAAGACAGCATTTATTTGCTACTTATCTTAGTGTTGATGTTTAAGGTGCTAGTATCAACTTTAGGCAAGTCACTCACTCTTAGCCCAGCCCACCTCACAAATGGGGAAAACAGGAGGAGGAGGAAGTCTTAGATATGTCCAGCATCTTGAATCACTCAATCAGTTTCATTCGTAAGATAGAATCGGAACTCACAGCCTCCTGGTTTTGACACCAGCATCTTAACCACTTCACCAAACCAAATTACCAAGTTAGGTTAATAAATGGGATGAAATTAAGGAAAACATATGAAGATGGGAGAAATTGCAATTGTTATTTGTTGGGGACAATTTCAGTGATAAAAATATATGGTTTGTCAGGATGATGTTATAGCTTCAAACAATACCTGTTCTGACAACTAATATACCATTTAAGGGAGACAGATATATCTAGTTTTGTATGGAAAGGGGAAAAGTCAAGGGTTAGATATAAAGATGCAAAGGAAAGAGGAGATTTAGATTTGCCTGATCTGAAAATTATGTTTTACAGCACAACTTGGTCCAAATGTGAGTTTTGCTGAGAAATTTTTAAATTTAAAAAAAAAACATTAGAATTACAATATTACAATCTGGGGTTTGGATGGTATGATAAAGTTAAGATTTTAAGAATAGTTATACTACAAGTACCATATTGAACAGGTATGGGACCAATATTAACCCAGACTGTGCCTAAAAATGCCGTAATGGATCTCAACAAACCCAGCATTTTAAAAGGAAAAAAATGTAAGTGAAAAAAAAATGTTAATTTATTGAGAATGTAGAAAAACAAAGTAAAGTTTCCACAGCTTGTTCTCCCTTCAGTGCTCTTCCTCTTCCACTGATTTATGTATAGACTTAACTGCATTTATGTCCTGATGTCAAGCTCAGGAAATCAAGAGTCCAAACAGTTCAAAGGAATACTGGTTTATTGCATGCTAATGCTCTTTGCAAGAATCTGAACTAGTAACAGTCAAAGCAAATTGGCAGTAGATAAGAATTCAAGGTGGGCTGGACTTAGATCTCTTTGTGAGCATGCAGGGATTCGAGACTGATGACGTGTTTGACTCCTCCCTCGGGGCTCAGTCTGGTCATCTCCCACACCTGCCTTTTCTCCTGAAAGTTCAGGGCAACTTACTTGGGATCTGTCCTCATTTCCCTCCCAAAATGAATAGGAGAGAATATCAGGGACTGGCCCAAAAGTTGGAAGAGGTGGCTTGCAATTAAATTCACATATTGCTCAACATTTGGGAAGCACATCAGAGATTGAGGGAGGGAAAGTGGGAGACCGAAAATACCGGGTTGTATATTTCTGCAAAATGTATTTTTAAAGGAGCAATGAAAATTCTTCAGAAAGACAGTGCAGCTTTTTATTTTATTTTATCAAGACATAAGCTTTTTTCTAGCTGAGCGTTATGCCCATTTTGCAGCCATAAAACAGGTGCAATCTGCTACAGAGGATAATGAGACCTGTCACATCATATAAATGCCTCTGCAGTTTTCCTTATCTTTGGGAAATTGATCAAGCAAAAAAAATATATCACTAGAAACTACTGTGAGAATCCTCAGGGAACTGCAGGAAAATTCTTCCTTGGTGGGAAAACTGTTTTGTTTTCCAAAGTTTTTGTTTGGGTTCTTAATCACGGAGTGAGTTTTAATTAAAGCAAAGTAGAAAACTGCATAATAATAGGGGGTGGGGGATTGAGGCAACCTCTTATTATTTTGAATGCACAGCTTGATTGTAAACTATTAGATTCTGCTCCTACTGTAGCTCAACAAAACACATACTGAGTGAATTGAGAGAGGTTGGTTTTTAACCTGGTTCTCCTCTGCTTCTTTGTCACATGACACTGATTTAATAAACAATCTGAAAGACTTGAAACATCAGAAAAATAACCTTTAAGACGCCTCTCATAGTTCACTTTTTTAAAAATGGTGGGAGGCTAGTCAAGGCATGTTGTCTTTTGTGTTTCTGCATGCATAAAACTTGGTTTCAATGGGTTCTTTGCTTAAACAGATAGCATCCATCATATAATATGTATTTCTGACACTGTTCTCTATAGATAAAAAAAAACATAAAGAGAAAATAGTAATAAACTATGAAACCGAAGATGGATGATAAGAAAATCTAAATTACACCCCGCCATTAAATATACCGCTCTTTATTTTTATACCCTTACAAACTATCTTTGTCTCCCTGAACTCCATATGAAAGTTTTATATGTTGCTTTTTGCCTTGATGAGTTGCCTTTTGATGTTCTCCTTTCTCAACCCAGACTTGCATCCTCCTAAATCCCAATGCTCCTTTATGCCGATGAGGCTGCTATTACTTCAGAAACCTCAATTGGACTGAAGAAAGCTGTTGCAGCAACATTAAAGTACTGTAGACAAAATAATTCGGTCTTCAATTGCGATAAATTGAAAATCCTCGTTTTTACTAAAAGGGGTTTTTGATACTCGTGGAGAGTAGAAGGGCATGACCTAGAAGAGGCCAACATATTTAAATACCTTGCAGTGGCTTTACATACCAAAGATACTTGGAAGACACATCTGGACCACAATGCCAGCCATTAGGTCTTCAAACGCTGTCACACAGGCGGAGGACAATTAGTCCCCGCAGCCTTAAAAATTTTGAGGCTAAAACATTGTCATTCTCTTTTGCAGTTGTTATAACAATACTCTTGAACAGTTTTATCTTTGTAGTAATACTTATGGGTGCCACAGACCAAATTGGGTGCATGCGTTGAAACATGGTTACCACTATTCCAGTTCATTGGTTAATGTTGTAGCTTCTTTCTACAAGCATCCATTCAACAGCAGACCTCATGTTTCCATTCTAAATTTATTGAGTTTTGTGCAACTTAAAATTTATTCTTCCATTTCTCCACTGCTAATAAACATGCTACTCAGATTCATCTCTTTGTGATAGTTTCTTTACTTTAGGTATGGTTTGGATTGATTCACTTCTTTTTCCTTCAAGGGCCTACGTTTCTGATAGGTTGATAGCTTGAGGGTTTCTCCATCACTGCTCCAACTTTTTGGAAAAATCAACCTTTTCTGTCAAGTCTTGGGAGAATGGGCTTTAAAAATTATGGTTGTCAGGTTTGATCCTGAAAGGTATAATTGTATGCTTTCATTTATTCAGTGACCTTGTAGACATATAGATGTATGCTAATTTGAGGACCTGAGATTTTATTAATGTCTGTAGAAATGGGCAGCATACAAATGATTGAAATATTTTTAGGTCCAATTCTTATTTGCATCATCTAACCTAAATATTGGCTGAAAATCCTTTGGATTCTAAGTCAACAACATGGCATCATCCACATAAAAACGTACATCTATATTCATGTTCCCAACCACTAACATCACAAGAAGCATTCCTTATATATAAGTACATTAAAGAATAAGGGAATGTCATATATCCTTGTCTTGCTTGCTCCTGAATGTGAAACATTTGTGATGCATTCTATTTATTTATTTTTGGTAAGCTTTACTTAATATTCATAACAACCAAACTTACCTCCATGTATGCTTTATCATACACTTACCATAAATCAACCAATATATAATAACCTCTCTTTCTCACATGCATATATCAAGCTGTCAGAAAGCTGCATGATAAAACTACTCTTGACTGTACAAATTCTTCATGCAACTATTTTCCATGATAAAGACCTATGCAATCAAAGGACAACTCACTGCAGCCAACTTGCCATGGCCAACTCATCGCACCCAACTCACCACAGCCAAGTCGCTGCAGGACACCTCGTTGCAGGACAAAAGTTACACTAATATTGAAGAGATGGTGCAATATAATTGTTAAAGAAAGAATGAAAAAGAACAAATGAAATGTGGAGGATGAACATCAAAATATTTTTAATGATGTTAAATAATTAAATTGAATTATCCTGCAGTAAGTTGGCCATGGTGAGTTGTCCCATTCCAACACAGGTTACTCTCCTAGTCTTTCTTTTTCAAAAACAATATCCTTCTGTAAGATTCCAACCTAAGAAATGTTTACCTCCTGGGAAACTGGTTATAGAAGTTATTCCAAAACCTCGGTTAGCTTTTAACTTGGACTTCAAGCAGGTGGGTCAAAATCTGCAGGCATATTGAAAATCAGCAAGTTTTTTCTTATGATGCTATTCTTGTAGATTTTGACCCATACGCTCTGGAAATATCCTTTTCAATAGTGAATGAAGATTCAAGGACTTTTAACTTGAGGTAGATGAGGAGCATATAAAAGGGGTAAGGAAAATTCAGAGATAAAATATATCTAACTTGCATCCTGGGTAGAAGATAGACAAGAAGAATCTTTAGGATTCTCCTTCAAATGTCAACTTGTGCTGGTTCTCACCTTTACTTATTATCTTACCTGACTCCAATAGCAAGTCTTGAAACTACAACACTTCTCTCAAGCGAATTTTAACTCCTTCTGATTTTGTAAACCATTCATGGTGTTTTCTTGACAATAGTACAGAATTGTTTCCTTGTGGGATCTTTCTAGCATTTCCTAGTAGCCCTGGTAATTTCTACTTCACTTCCATTAAATTACTAACCAAAATTAAACCTTTCAAAACCTATCTACAATAGATAACATGATCATTCTGTATGTATATTTGTCTTAATGTGGGTGGAGAGTGATTACCTGCTCGTCTACTTTCTGATAGCTAGGAGCTTGGAAATAACTAAATCCCAATGTACTATGAATGGAATAGAGTGATGTGGAAAAGAACAGAACAGAACAGAACAGAAATATTCTAAGAGGTACAAACCCAAACATTAGAAGGCAGGATTGCTGAAAGAATAACCCAACCTTTAATTCCTCCTGGATTTTCTCCTCCTCCATCAATTTGGCTGCTTTGCGATCTTCTGCCTCTATCTTCCATTTCTCTGCCACTATTCGAGCTTTTTCCTTTGCCATAGCATCACGGAACTTCTTCCTGATTTCAGCTTCCTTTTGTTTCCTTCCCAAAAAGAAAAAAGAAAGAGAGGCAAGATAAGGAAGGAAGAGTAAGTCAACCTTGAGTTTTCATGTAGAACAAAAGTCTAAGAATACTGGACAACCTTGGCATTTTTACCAACAGCCATCATAATGACAGAATCTCATGTACATACACTGAAGTTCACAGGGGACATTGGTGATTGCTGATCAGGATAACTGCATATATCCTAAAACCTATCCTTCTAGAAGCATCAAGGATCTGACTGCTCTTTAGAAGGCCAGATCCTGAAGATGAAATTCAAATGCTTTGACCATCTAATGAGAAGGAAGGACTCATTGGAGAAGAGCCTAATTCTGGGAAAGATGGAGGGCAAAAGAAGGAGATGACAGAGAATGAGGTGGAAGGATGGAGTCACCGAAACAGTAGGTTTGAGCTTACCAGAGGATGGTAGAAGACAGGAAGGCCCGGAGGAATGTTGTCCATGGAGTAGAACATGACTTTGCAACTAACAAGTGTGCGTGTGAGAGAGAGAGAGAGAGAGAGAGAAAGAGAGAGAGAGAGAATTATGGAGGGAGAGAATAGAGAGAGGAAAAAGAGAGAGAAACAATTGAGAGAGAGAGAAGGGAGAGAGAGAGAGAAACTGATTTTGGTAAGTCTAACAAAACATTATTTTATATTCAAGTATAAACCAAACAGTTTATACTTGTTGTTCTTATATCATTTTAGATTTAAGAGAGATACTTAAGAGAGATAATTTAAGAGAGAGACTTGAAGTTCTGAAGAGTTTTGAAAGAAATTTTAAATTTCTATCCAATGGAATTCCTCGTGACTTCACGGACATGTCCATGTTCACAGATAACTTGCATCCATATTTGTCTCCATCTGGGAGTTTCTTTTGACTTTCGAGTTTAAAATACAGCCCTGAGATTCTCTGATGGTCTCCATCCAAATACTAACCATAGAATACAGAATGACAGAGTTGGAAGGGATCTTGTAGGTCATCTAGTCCAACTCCCCACCCAAACACGAGACCCTACACCATTTCTGACAGATGACAGTCCAATCTCTTCTCGAAAGCCTCCAGTGATGAAGGTCTCACAACTTCTGAAGGTGACTTCTGTTCCATCAGTTGCTTGTTCTCACTGTCAGAAAAATTCTCCTTATTTCTAGGTTGAATATTGGTCAGCTTCCACCCATTATTCCTTGTCTGGCCTTCAGATACCTTGGAAAATAGCTTGGCCCCCTCCTTTTTGTGGCAGCCCCTCAAGTTCTGGAAGATGCTATCATGCCTCCCCTGCAACTGTTCTTCATAAGTACCATATTTTTCGGAGTATAAGATGCTCCGAACTATAAGATGCACCTAGATTTTGGGGAGGAAAACAAGGGAAAAATATCTGCCTCTGCCTCCCAGCAATTTGCCTCCTTGCAACAAACAGTACAGACAATATACATTGTTTGTAGTGTTATATTTCAGACTATACTTGTACAGACGCTATTAAAATGTGCTTTCTGGAAATATAGTTATTCTCTGCTATTTAAAAGAATAGCACTTCTTAAAACAATAGCAATGGGCCTCTTCAGATCAAGCATTTATTTTAAAAAGTCTCTTCATTTTATTAAGTTGTCTAGAACAATAATAAAGCAGTCTTTAAAAATAAGTCTAACAATTTGAACATTCTATAGACATAGTTGTTGACTTACCTCCTTGCAGCAAACAGCCTGATTAGCACAAGAAAAAAAAATCTGCCTCCCAGCAATTTGCCATGTGGAGCAAATTTCACTTTCAATTTCTCCCGATCATCAGCTGTTAGAGGCTGCAGGGATTGCTATAGTTTATTGAAGCCTCCACAAGCCCCATTTGCTGCAAAGAGGTAAATTGCTGGGAGGCAGAGGCCCCAAGGGTGGGGGCTGGTGGGTGGGTGGGGCTACATTCGGTGTATAAGACACATCCAAATTTTCACCCTCTTTTAGCTGGGGGAAAGGTGAGTCTTATACTCCAAAAAATACGTATCTATGTTTGACCCAGCTTAGTTTCTGAGTCCAAGCAAGATATTACTTCCCACTGAGATTTGGCATATTCAGAAATGAGTATACATTTCAAAGACAATATTATCCAATAGAATTCCAAAATAATTCTCATTCAGTAGTTTTTTTGACAGCAATATTCTAGATGTGATTGATTTGCAGATACTCACCATAGTTCTTCAGCTTCCTTCTGGGCCTGCTGTCTGGCTCGTTCTGCAAGACGCTCCTCTGAAATTTGCTCATATGACTTGTCTCCAGGGGCGTCTCCCATGATCCAAACCCAGACCTCGCCATCAGCTCCCTGAAGCCACTGAACATGTTTCCTGTCACCTGGAATAGCCATCCAAATGTGTTGCCAGAAGGGAAAATCTCAGAGCCATCAATCAAACAACAAACAACGTCTTAAAATACAAGGAATGAGAACTAAGCACTGGGCCTGTTCAGGTTCATGAAGGAGAACTTCATTTCCACCATGCTGCAAACAAAGCGTTTCTCTGAAGTTGCCTTGGAAAGGACCTGACCACCTGCTTCTAGAAAAATGATCAGAGGGGCCAAGTTATTTTACTTTGCTGGAGAAAGGGCATTCACTGTATCTGGAAGAGCCTAGTTAAGGTAGGGCTTGAAGAGAGTCTTCATCATATACAGAATAATAGAATTGCATGAATTACAAAATAACAGCATTGGAAGAGACCTTGGAGGGGACCTGTGTATTTCCTTGACTTCTTGGAATAACCAGATATAAAGTATGCATCGGCTCTTGACAAGGATGTACAATGTCTATCTCCTGCATCCTTAAATTATAAAATAAATTTCACCACTTCCCTATTGTCACAAGCTAATCTTTTTCTGGGTATAAGCTGATACTTCCTGCAAATAAAGACGTGGTTGTTTTATAAATTGGCTTTCATAGAAGCAACATGGTTATTACTATTTTTCTTGTTGATCCAGACTTTATAGAGATAAATAAACACCTTGTTGCACAGTGCCAATTTTTGGTTTTTCTGCCATCTTTTTCAAGTTATATACTTTCTTTTATTTTCTAAGAGGTACAGTGACTTAGAGGTGGAGCTCTTGCCTCACAATCTGGAGGCTGTGAGTTCAATCCTAGGTAGTGGCAGATATTTCTCTCTGTGGACGCAAATGAATAATTGTCTGCTGTGAACTGCCTGCAGGCGTCAGGAAAGGCATCCACCCAGTAAATTCCCAAGCTCCGTTCAGTCACCAAGACCACCACAATGCAAGAGATTACAGGGTTGTTCAAAGAAAAAAGTCAAAATAACTTTAGATCTGAAGGGCCAAGTTAGAGAGAGATCATCATGGACAAACTAAATTTATATTATTATAACTGTATTACACTAAGAGCCAACAGTGACTTGAATGTACATAATCAACCAATCAATGATCCTAGATGAATTGGCTGAGGATTATGACAATTTAAATCCAACATGAGTAACTGGTTGGGAAAAGCTCTTTGTTACCTCCTCTTATGTCTTTTTCCAAGAATAACATCACAGTAAATCAAGGTGTTTTTTTCAGCTATTATACATGTGTATTTATTCAGCTTTTGGCTTCCTTTTTAATACATTTAAGATTCATTAGCTCTCATCTCTAATGAGACATATTTGTGGACTTGTAAACTGCAATCCCTTATTATGCTTTTATATTGCTAGGCTAATCTGTTTTGGATACATAAGAACTGCCTCCCATTTTCTTTCCCACTGACTTTTAAAAATTTCATTCCTCCATGTGTTCTGTTTATTTTATGACTATTATTAATCATTGCTGTTTTCCTACGTAGCTTGTGTTATCTACAGTTAGTTTGTGTTTAAAAATTCACTTGCCGATTGAATCAAACAGCCAACCTTCTAATCTTTGCTCAATCTTTCCTTCCCCAAATGCACTCATCTTTATTTTCCCAATGTCTATAATTCTCATATCTTTTTATTGTATTTATCATGTTCTCATATTGTATTTTACTTTACTGTTAAACGTATTTATTCTTCTTTCCAGATTTAGAGATACAGAAATAGAGAGGACTTCTGGAAAAGCAATGGTGAATTGAAGATGGTTGTACTGAGAGCAGAAGCAATAATCACAGTAGAATGGAGAGACAGTGAAGAGACCTGCTTAATACAAAATTACTGAGTTGGAAGGGACCTTGGAGGTCTTCTAGTCCAACCCGCTGCTCAATCAGGAAATCTATACATTATGGACAAATCTTTGTCCAATCTCTTCTGGAAAATCTCCAGTGATGGAGCACTCACAACTTATGGAGATAAAGTCATTCCACTGTTGATTGTTCTCACTGTCAGGAAATTTTCCTTATTTCAAGGTTGGATTTCTCCTTGATAAGTTTCCATCCATTACTTCTTGTTCTGCAATCAGGTTCTTTGGAGAATAGCTTGACACTCTCTTTGTGGCAGCTCCTGAAATGCTGGAACACTGCTTATCATGTCACCCCTAGTCCTTCTTTTCATTAGAATAGACATACCCAATTCTTGGAATCCTATTCTGGACAAAGAGAAAACTTGTGGACATAAGTTCATAAGGTAGTGAATTAGGTGAAATAGTGTGATGACTCCAGATGTCACCTCAGAGG